ATCCGGACTTATAGAAAACCCGCTAGTCCGAGAGAAATAGAAAACCCGCACTCTGGACTTTAGAAAACCCGCTAGTCCGAGAGAAATAGAAAACCCGCACTCTGGACTTTAGAAAACCCGCTAGTCCGAGTAATTTCATATTCTACCTAAATTGAGATCGATTCTTCACCACAGAATAGTAAACCGCTATAAATCCTCGTTTCTTTTAGAGATACACCGCTAATTAAGAAATTATTTACAGATTTCATCTATATATTTCCATTCAATTCAGGCCAAGGATTTAATACAGTGTACAAATCTAAGTTTAAAGTAATACATTGTTTCGCTTATTTTTTTCCAGTTACTTAAACAGATTCTGATTCTGAATATCTTGAATTCTAGTTGCTTCCTTCGCCAATTTGTCTGCTTCTTCGTTCCCTGCGATATACTTATGTGCCGGTATCCATATCAAGGCTATACTTTTGCCTGAATTCTTCAAATTGGTCAAATCATCTAAAATATAAGATATCCACGCATTTCTTATTGGAGAGGAGTCATCACCTGACCACCCTTTCTCAATCCCTCTTAAGATCGCTTCTGAATCAGAGAAAATTATAAGTTGTTTTTCATCTCTTTCACGAGATCATTTGATAGCCACTGTCATGGCTTCTGCCTCCATGGATGCTATAGCCGCTCTTCTGTCCACCCTATCAATTCTGTATTCTGATCTGTAATTACGACCTAAATATTTCTTAATGACTGCATATCCATTTTTAAATGAATTATCTTCTAATTCGATTCTTGATCCATCCGTAAAATACACTGGATATCCTTTTTTGAAATGAGGATATTTATCCGTTACTTTGTCAAACAGCCAATTCTCCCCTCCTTGTACTGATAAAATTTCTCTTCCGATCTGCATATTTATTATCACCGCTCTCGACGTATCTTCTTCGTTATGCATCGACCTCTCCCAACTATTTCTCCATTCCAAAATGTGATTCTCTTTTAAGATGTTATGCTTTC